CATACTGCTTACTACCTGCTCTTCATCCACTTTCTTCACAAACACACCATGACTTAGACCAGTGCTACAGTTTCCTTGAACAGCATAACAGCAGGAGTTAGCTTACAGCATGTTAAATTGAAATAGAGTGAGAGTGGAGAAAAAGAGGGGAAATAGGCAATGGATGGACAGAATTACATAGTGAACATGTGAGATACATGAGAAAGAACAGGAAGCAGGGAGGCAAAGGGGGCAAATAGGTTCTTTATGTAAAATTGGAGAGCAGCAGGGGAAGCATTCAGGGATTCTCCTGGTCCACCTGGGCTTTTGCTTCATAGGCACACTGTTCCTCCCCTCCAACCTCAAAGCTTACTGAGCTAGAAAGCCTCTCTGTGGCAATGGCCCGGTGGTGACAAAGCGACTCCAAACATACCTGAAGGAGGAGAACTCCCTGATCCATTCCAATCTGGATCCAGGCCATTTCAAGGCACTGAGATGGCACTGGTCACATTGCACAATGACTTAAGGGAGGCTGACAGGGGAGGATCTACCCTGTTGGTCCTCCTGGATCTCTCAGCGACTTTTGATACCATTGACTATGGTATCCTCTTGGACAGACTCTCAAAGGTTGGTATCAGGTGTCTGATATTGATCTGGCTCTGATCTTTACATGTTAAGAGAGTCCAGTTTGGGGATGAGCTGTCAGCTCTCTGGACCCTCAATTGTGGGGTGCCCCAGGGGTCATCAATATTCCCAATGCTTTTTAACATCTATTTAAGGCTGCTGAGGGAAGTCATCAGGAGATTTAAAGTAAGGCATCATTAGTATGCTGATGATACCCAACTCTCTCGCCTTTATACATTCTGCAGTGTCAGGATGCTTGAACGATGACTGATCTCAGTTTTGGAATGGACCAGGACCAACAGGGTCAAACTGAACCCAGACAAGATAGAGATTTTGCTCCAGGGCAGCCACTCTGATAGGCTGGGTGGATCATCCCTAGATTGGATGATGTTGTCCTCTCTTTTAGTGATCAAGTCCATAATCTGGGCATGCTTCTGGAACCAGCTCTTTCTTAGGATTCCCAGACTGCAGCCATGCCCAGATCAGCCTTTAACCAGCTGAGGCTTATTGCCTAACTCCACCCCTACCTTGATAAGCATGTCCTCAGGATGCTGGTGCACGCACTGGTCCATCTCTTGGATTGACTACTGAAATGCTCTTTATGTAGGGGCTCCCCTTGAGGCTGACTCAGAAACTACAACAGTTCCAGAACGTGGCAGCTAAGCTGGTGACTGGCGTGAGCAAGTTTGTCCACATCACTCCAATTCTGGCTCTCCTCTAGTGGTTACGTGTTTCAGGTGAGGTTCAAGGTTGTGATGCCTACTTATAAAACCCTTGATGGTTTGGAACCATGGTACTTGTTGCAGCATCTTTCCCCAAGGTCATCTCCCTGCTCCGCCAGATCCTCTCAGGCAATGCTCCTTCAGGCGGCCACTCTGAAGGAGGCCAGAAAGTCATCTATGAGAGGTCCAACCTTCTTTGCTCGAGCACCAACTCTCTGGAATCACCTTCCAGTGGAGTTGCGCCTGGCTCCCTTCCTCCCAACCTTTAGAAGGCATTGCAAAATCTTTTTAGAAGACTTCCATGTTGACCCTGCCTGATCACATGCATTGTGTCCCACCTGTTATGAGGATTATATATCTCATTATCCCCCCCCCCACGACTATTTATAATCTTATCATTCTTGTGGTGTTTATTATGTTGTAAACTGCCCATAATAATACAACCCACTAATAAGGTGGTATACAAATTAAATAAAAGAATAAATAAATGTTATAGGAAGAAGTCAATTTAGAAGGAGTATGGAGGGGTGGTGAAGGAAAAGTCTAGTAACTGGAGAAAAGTAGGTAAATGTGAAGTGTGAAAAGAGAAGCGGAAATTAAAAGATATAGGAGATGCACACCTAGGGGCATTGGAGGAGTTGATAAAAAGGGAGCATTCTTTTATCACATTGTGTATGAAGAGTGACAATCAGAAAAAGGCAGTCTTTGCTGTGCTTGGAGGCTTTACATGCAATCTGCAACACGGAGTTCTTTTATTACATAGGCTCTGCACATAATGGACACTCTGGTCTCAACGTCTAGTGAACTAAGAACAGAGGAGTGGGGTTAGCGCACTTCCCTCATTATGTTAACCTCCCTTTGAATGCCTAAATAGAGCTACAGTAATGAAACTTCACTGTCCTCAAGTACAATGTGGACAGAGACACAGGATGAAATCCTACTTCGTAGGTTATGTTGTGCAAGTTATGTTGTGTAATTGGCCACTGTAATTTTTCAGAAATTAAACATTCCCAGTTTCTTCTCCCAAATGTATTAAAGTTCCTGTGTAATCACTTTCATTGTCGGAAAGCCATTGGAGGCTGTGGGATGGGAGGAGAAGTCTTTAATGATTGGTGGTAAAGTCATCCCATCGTAACGGAGAGCAATAGGATTTCTGCCATGGAATACCTATCAATTTGGGTAACTATATGTTATTTTTTTTCAATTTGGAATAAATATATTTCTAGCTTCTACATCTTCTCAGTGGTAGATGGAAATCTGGGACACCTCATAATGATGAGGAAGTAATACAAATGCAGCATCACTGGAACTTTTAATTGGTCCCATTTGCAGTTTAACACTGCAATGAAACAGAATCAGCCACTGAATGTTCCTAACCCAGGAGGAGAAAGCTGAAGACATTCAGTTCTTCTCAGATTTTATCAATAATTTCCCTCCTCCACAAATCAGTCAGTTTCCTTCTTTGTAGATATGAACTACCACGCTCCTCTGCGAGCCTTCTGACTGCTTAACAAAGAGTGCAGGTACCAGCAGGAATGGACAGTTTCAAAAATGGAGGCTCGGTCGTCATGTTTCTCTGTTCCAGTAATTCTATACAAAACCTGTATAGCACCTAGTATTGCCTAACTACTTCTCTTTTGTGCTGCCTGGGATTGTTGACTAGATGCTTGAGGAGCTGAGGTTCACCACTTTCCTCACTGATAAAATGTCAGATAATAGCTGTGTAAACCTCAGAAGTAGTAGATACCTTCTTGAGAGGCAGTGTTCTGCTAGGTGCCTTTAAAAAGGCAACTGTGAGACATCTACAGGAGAGAAAAAAACACCTTAGACCCTATGGCAGTGAACAATGACTACTTAGTATTTAATACTCTATTCCTGAACAAAGGTCTGGAAAAACTGGTGTGTCAACTACAGGCAGACACTACTTATTTAGATGTGTTAAAATCTGGTTTTTGACCTTGCCATGGTTATAGCAATAGCCTTGGTCACCAAGTCGGATGACCTGGAATAAAAAATGAACGAAAGAAATTCTGTTTGTACTTCTAGTCCCCTCAGTGGCCATTTTCCTTGAGTATCATAAATCAGAGATAGACAAACTTCCTCTCCCCAGATGCTTTGACTACAACTCCCATAACTCCTGACCATTTGGTATAGTTTATAGAAATTATAATCAAAAACTTTGGGGGGTTGCCCTGCATAGACCATAACACCCTTGTAGCAAGCTTGGCCTTGGGAGCTTCCTATTAAGCTGGCTGCTAAATTTCATGACTCAAAGTGCTCAGATGATAGAGCTCAGATGATAAGAGCCTCGTGGCGCAGTGGTTAAAATGCTGTACTGCAGCTAAAACTGTGCTCACGACCTGGGGTTCAAATCCCAGGTAGCCGTCTCAAGTTTGACTCAGCCTTCTATCCTTCCGAGGTCGGTAAAATGAGTACCCAGCTTGCTGGGGGGGCAATGTGTAGCCTGTATAATTAAATTGTAAACTGCCTGGAGAGTGCTTGTAGCGCTATGGGACGGTATATAAGTCCAAAAAAAAAAAAAAGTTATCTCCTATAATGCTTAACCTATGGATTACCATGAGATTTATTCTGCACCCTATACATTTTAACATAAAGCCAACAGGGAAAGTAATTCAGAGGCTGGGCTAAGGAGCCATCAACATATTGAGAACATGTCACCTTTACTTTTCATTTTTACCTGTTGATCCCAAGGAAATTGTGGGACTTCTGCACAGAAGTCCACTGTGGTTTTGGGGACAGAAGTCTGTAACTCCATGCCTGAGGAACAGGTCTTAGGCTAAGGTTCTTACTTCTTATCTGATGGCCTTTAATGTACTTTGTTCTGAATAATGATTATTTTTATAAAAATGTGCATATAATGTTTCAATATTTTTGTTCTTAATGTTTCAGTTGTCTGCAAAATTATTTTGAAAACCACATTGCTAGAAATCACATTGCTAAATAGAGATGCAAAGGTCTACTCAGAAGCAACCTCCACTGAGTTGTGTATACGATTTTAGCTTTAAAATACAATCCTATGCAGATCTACTCAATAATAAGCTGCACTATGAGACTAGCTGCCAGGTAGACCTGCAATCTAAGCCACGTATCTCCTTCTACATTCCACTGCAAATCTAGTGGCTTGAACATCAAGCCAGTTTAAAAACAAAACAAACAAACAAAAAACGCTCCCCACATCCCCACTTTGCCAAACTTCTCCAGCATGACGAAGAGCACCTGCAGATTGAGTTAGACACATGGATCCATTAGCTACTGCATCTGGCTATGTGGGTACAGCTAAAAGTAGATTGAAGCCATTACATTTCACGGAAGACTTGCTGTTAGTTATACTGCTCTTGTTCAGCCATCAACGCAAAAGTGGTTTCATCAGAAGTGCAGAAGTCTTTCTCCATTAGCAGTTTTCAAAAGTGTTTAAGCACATTTAACTGACTTTCCTTTGATGTCCATTCCAGCAGTATCTAGTCTTCAGTACTGGAGCAATTCCTCTGAATAAGATTTCCATTTACTTTACAAGCAAAGAAATTCGTGCTGTGACAGAAAATTGATTATTAGAAATGAAAAGAAACAAAAAAAACCCCACACCCACAGTTTTTTTAGAAAAAGCTCATTTTGAGGAAATTCATCTTTTATGTATTATGTTACTGATCACTTGGATTTCTTCTTGGCTTTGACAACATTCTATTATGAATATTTCAGATTTTTTCATAGCCTTCTAAAAAGAAATTGGCAGCATTAAAGACAGTTTAAAAAACAAGTGTTCTTTAAAAAAATAAGCCTAAATTTAAACTGCAAGGTTATTAGCAGTGGTTTTGAAATAGCAACATACGAGGAGAAGCCCTGTAACTAATGGCCAAGCTGGATCAACATAAAGAAAACATACATTTTAATACTAGTCAGTGGATGAAATACTAACATTAGCTGTGGACTACATTGTCCAATTTTGTTTCTGGGATGAAGATTTCACAACTGGAAAACAAGGGGGATGGGAAAGAGAGAAAAAAACATGTACAGAAGTCTCAGCAACTTTCTTGATCCAGTTTCTTTTAACAGGTTTACTCAGTGGTCAGTGGATTGACAATACTGAATGGAGAATACTGATGTTACACAGAGATGTTACAGGCAAATTAATGGGAAGTTGGGGAGGAGTAGAAACACAAGCAGTAATGAGAAATGGTGCTGCCAGTGGTAAACACCCATACTTTACTGTTATTTATTGAGAGAAAGAGCTTATATATATCTATATATCTATATATATCTTGTAGTTTGCTGGAATTTAATAAATAAGGACAACTTATAATATATAAAACAATAGAAACATTTATATGCTACATGCATATCATATAATTTAGACATAATAATTTATATGGCAGAGAAATGAAGATCTATGTTCGTCCGATTTTCCTGGACAACGCACATACACAAGAGGTGTCTATTCTTATCCATCGCCAGGCTATGAGTTTATTGTTTTCTGAAGTCAATGCTCGTACAAATGTTTGGGATGTTTTGCATTGGGAGTTCCAGTGCTTATCATCTATACCACGACAACCACTTTTTGCAGGTTTGGCTTGTTTACACCTTGTTTCGTAAAAATATTGTTTCACCGGGGAAGGGCCCATTTTGATTTCTCCCAGCACCGTTACCTGGTGTCCTCTAATGTCAATTGCAGAAGCTTTGTCTGTGACCCACCGGCTTTCACTGTCACACACTGAATATTCTCCACGGTGGCTCTTGTTTTCAGCAAATCTCTTACGCCGAGAGGTTCGGTTCACCACCACCGAACTGCCAATGTAATCCTCCATAAGATATAATGGTGGGGGCTCCAGTGGAGTATTGTCACTCAAGAGGACCCTGGGGGAGCTGTAGCGTCTCTGTTGCCTCAGTAATTCTGTATCCATTGAAATAACCGATTGGGAATCCAACTTCATGTTGCTGCTGTCATCCATATCCGTTTCCATAACTTCTGTTTTCTTCACAGCATTCTGAACACTATCTTCAATATCTACCATCTGTTTAGATACTTTATTTTTCAAAATGTCAGCCTGAATAAGTTTTATAATAAGAGAATTTATTGACTCTTCCGGTAAACTCCCTTGATCCATGTTGGTAGATTGGATGCCACGGAGATAAGCAAAAAATATCACATAAAACAAGATGGACATCACCTTGTTCACGTGTAAGATCTGAAAAAGAATTGAGAGAAAACTTAGAGATAACAAAAAAATTTACACATTGATTGAACAGATTTGCCCTCTTTTTTCCTTTTACATATTTAACAGATAGAAAATTTTACAAACAACTTAAGGACGGGAAAATATGGTTCAGAAGTGACATGAAGTCCCCCAGGGCACTGGGGGGGGGGTGTCCTACAATCATCCACCTTCAAAATGCCCCCTCAAATATGGGGTTGAGGGCAAGTAAAAAAATTTTACTATTTGAAGGGGAAAAACTTCTTAAAGCATTGGTTTTCATCCCAACCCCTCCAAGAAACTGGAAGCAGCCCGTTTGAGCACTGCCTGTTTGTTTTTTAAATGACTGCTTTCAGCCTTTTCCAGGTCTGATATAGCTTGTGAGGAGAGGGTACAGATTGAACTGGGCTCCCAAGCCCTCAGAACTTGCCCAGTCATGAAATAATGGATACAACTCCATAAGGGCATTATGCGAACAAAAGGGATTTTTGAATTCAAATCTCTTTGTTAAGCTATTTTATCCTGAGTTGGATCATCACCCCATCAAACTCAGTATTTTCTACCTGGGCTGAAAACAACTTTTCAAGGTCTTAGATAGAGGTTCTTCTTTCAGCCCTGCTAGAAAGATCCATACAGATGTAAGTGTCAGAAACTAAACATGGAGCTTTTTACAAACAAAGCTGGTGTTCTAACACTGAGTTGTGGTTTGACTCATTGATTAAATACAGTGGTGCCTCGCTAGACAGTTACCTCGCATGACAGCTTTTTCGCTAGCCATTGCTTATTTGTGATTGCTATAGCGATTTGCAAAACAGCGATTCCTATGGGGCAATTTTGCTGGACAATGTTTGGTCCCTGCTTTGCAACCCGATTTTCGCTAAATGACGATTTTGTCAGCGCCCTCCGTGCTCGCAAAACAGGTGTTTTTGGGACCTAAGCTTCGCAAGACAGCGATTTAAACAGCTGATCGCTGGTTCGCAAAGCGGCTTTCCTATGGCCGATCTTCGCTAGACAACGACGATTCTTCCCCATTGGAACGCATTAAACAGGTTCCAATGAATTCCAATGGGGAAATGCTTTTCGCTAGACAATGATTTCGCTAAACAGTGATTTCAGTGGAATGGATTATCATCGTCTAGCGAGGCACCACTGTACATAAATAAAAATGAAGCTGTTGTATACTTAATAAAATAATTGCTTTACCTCACCTACTTTATTTACTATTAATGTCAGCAGGTCTGCAAAATCTCATGTAAAAGTCATTGCCAACCCCATTCTGATGATTTAAAAAAAAAAACCTAGAAATGCTGGTATGGATGGGACTGCTCTGAGGGTGGGCTGATGTGCTACAACAAAGGTGTCTTCTGATTGCAATCTTTAAGAGCAAATCATCCCTTTCCTGCACCAGCCCAAATACCTATGTAGTCCGCTTCTTAATCATCCTCCCCATGCTCTCTTATTTGGAATATGAAAAACATTGGTGGACTGTGAAGACTGTACTAATATATAAATAGACTGCAACATTATTATCAGTTCACCCTTGACTTATGTATTATGTGGGAAAGGAAATAGAAGGCTGACGTTTTCTGGAGCATCTAATTCCAGTAGCTGATGAAGTGAACTCTAGCCCAGAAAAGTTTATAACACATTAGCTGAAACCCAATAGCAAGTAAGCCATAACTAGAGTAAACCCACTGAATCAGTGGAGATTTTGTGAGTTAACTGTTCTGTAGGATCCATTGATTCAAATGGACCTATTCTAATTGTGACGTACTACAGAATTTCAGCCAATAAATGTATATAATTATTTTTGAAAGAGGAAAAGTAACTTAGCATAATATATTTCCTGACCCATTAAGAGTGTTTCCCTACTCTGTAAACATTGAATGAAAAAAAAATCACTTAACTCTGTCAATGTGCAGTCTGCCCTTTTATGGTCAAGAAATGTGATTTTTTTCCCATTCTCATATTTTGTTATGAAATGAGCTCACCTGTGTCTAGACTATGTTTTCCTTGTGCATAATTGTCAAGTTTAAGAAAAAGACATTTAATTTGTTAGAAAATATCTTGCTGCTCTGTGAAGATACAAATGTATAGGAAAATAACTTTCTGAATCACTAAAAAGAGAAGAGCTATCATATCAAAAGTGAGTTGTTGTTGTTGTTGTTGTTGTTGGTGGTGGTGGTGGTGGTGGTGGTAACCCAGCTGTCAGAATGTGGGATTGAACAGTGGTTACAATCCAAGCTGCCAAGATAAGTGATGTTAACTGCAGAACAAAACAGTTCTAGCTACTGTATCATAAGGAATTTGATTACTAAAGTTATTTGGAGGAGCCTTATTCAAGAGGAAAGCATATGATCATCAGTGTCAGGATAGTACACTGGTCAACTTGACTCTTAGTCATTGACCCAAGTTCATAAAGCAGTAAAAGTACACTTCAGTTATGCTACTTCAAACTGCAAGTGAAGAAAACTGGTAAAGAAAAAACTTTATACAGAAAGTTCCCAGCGCACCACAAACTAAGCTTGTAGTCTGATCCTTTTTATGTGCAAGAATTTCCTTTTTTCCAGAGGAAAGCATTCAACCATGCAATTCCCCCACCTGCAGTCGGTAACAGTCCAGTCCAAAAACAGTTTTGCCACTTCATCCACTGTCTGGAGCCTCTATTCAGATGATAAAAATCATGCAAAAATAAGTGAGTGTCACGGAGTTCAACTACCTAATCATGAGTGAGCACAGTAGCTCAATAGCAGTGGCCTGTTTTTATATGGCCCTTTCAGCCTTTGTCTAGATCAGCATTTCCCAACATTTTTTGAGCCACAACCTCTTTTCATAATAGTCAAGAAGCCCGCGGTCCCTGCCATATTTGCATAAAAAGACGTTTGTAATGGGGTGAGAAGACAAACCTCCTTGGAAAAGATAATAATGCTAGGAAAAGAGGAAGGCAGGACTTGAAATGGATTGACTCAATAGAAGAAATCATGTTCTTTATTTCACAAGATTGCCACACAGTTTTTTACTATAGGAGTGAGTCTTTTGGGGGTGGATGGAGGAACATTAAATCAAAGCCTTCCCAAAGTGGTTTTTGCTGCTAACATTGATATGAAAGCAATTTGACAGCACATAACACTGCCATCAACTGTCTACCACCAGATGGAGGATGGGGTCTCTCCTCTGCTTGGCTGGGCTTGCAATTTGGGTTCTGTTTGCTCCTACTCTGCCCCCCCCACCCAGCTTTTCCTAGTCTCCTGTCCAGTCCAGCTGGGATGGACTCACCAACATCATCTCCAGGCACAATTGGGTAGGGAATCACCAAATCTGGAGGGGAGGGGCAGCCCTTAAGGGAGGAGAAACCCTGCTTTTTTTCTGGAGGAAGAACAGAGAAACAGGGAGGGCTGTTCTTGTTTTTACTGCACATCCCATCCTGCCTGCTCCCTTCCTCTCTAGGAATACAACTCAGTGCCTTTACCTTTGCTGAAAAAGTGAAGCAACTAGTAATCCATTCATTTCACCACACACATATGGATAGAAGCCCCAGTTTTTTTAAAGCCTGGCGACCACTGAAGGAAACACCTTGTGATCCCCTTGGGGTCTTGACCCACAGGTTGGAAACCCATGGTCTAGATAGAGAAGGTCACCTTTGGCAGGGCCTCAAAAGCATAGGAGCAGCTTTTTTCCTTTTCTGTGAATAAAAGCTGGTTGCAGAAATGGAAAATGGAAATGGAAGAATATCAATAAAAATAAGAAACTCAGAAGTAACAAATAACATTTTTAGTTCTTTCTTAAAGTTTTAAAGCACATTTTAATATGATTTCCAAATGTTTAAGCCATTTTCTTAGAAATCCTAAATTTATTTTTTAAACTATTAAGAAAAATAATAATGCTATTAGCATAATATCACAATAATCTGAAAATTTGCATACAATATGAATACATGTGTGACTACTCTTAGTGTGAAATCAGATTCCTTCAGGAGTTTATCCCATTACAGTGGTGCCTCACACAACGATGTTAATTGGTTCCAAAAAAAATCAATATTGTGTGAAACATCGTTCTGTGAAACACCATTTCACATAGGAATGCATTGAAAACCGGTTAATCCGTTCCAATTGGAACGGATTGCCATCGTTCAGTGAAAATCCCCATAGGAAACATCGTTGAGTGAAACAATGTTTCCTATATTGGAATGTATTGAAGCCGACTCAATACATTTCAATGCCTTTGCGAAGTCCTTTTTCGCTCCTGTAAAAGTGTCTTACAATGTTTGGAAGCTGTTTTAAATGATTGCAATGGTTAGTCCACCTCCTGAAACCTATGCAAACTGATTTTGGTGTTGTTCTGACACTTCGTTAATTTATGATGATTTTTTGAATTTTCTCCATAGGAAACCATTGGATGGTCTGTCTAATGGTTTCCAATGGAAAAAACAAAAAATCATCATAAATTAACGAAGTGTCAGAACAACACCAAAATCAGTTTGCATAGGTTTCAGGAGGTGGACTAACCATTGCAATCATTTAAAACAGCGTCCAAACATTGTAAGACACTTTTACAGGAGCGAAAAGGGAGATCGTTGTGTGAAAATCCCCCATAGGAAACATCGGTGTGTGAGGCAGCAAATTTAACAGAAAAAGGCATCGTTGTGTGAATTCATCGTTGTGTGAGGCACTCGTTGTGCGAGGCACCACTGTACATTCTTTTCAGGATTATGAAACGATCCTGTGTCATTCAGAACATTGTGACAGTGTTTCATTAAATATGGTAACAGCTTCTGCATAGACTTTTCCTGTCAACACAGAAAGCAGCTTTGAAACTGACCTGCACAATCCCATTTTACCACCACCATTTTAATGCCAACGTACGGATTTTGTCTACATGCATCTGAATCATTCATTAGTAGCAATTCACTGCTGTGATTTATGCCATTACAGTGGTGCCTCGCTTAATGACGATAATCTATTCCAGGAAAATCGCCGTTAAGCAAAAACATCGTA